AAGTGCGGCGGATCACCTAACTCGTCCTCAGTGACGAGTTCAAATCTAGTTATTATTATTATTTTTATGGAAAGCGTTTCATAAAAAGTGGTTACGATGATTTGTACTGTAATTGTTACAGATAAACATTCTCACAACATTGTCAGTGTTTGAAATGCAAATCGTCAATAAAATTTAGACCAACTCTTGCTTTTCGGGCACCCACTTTGGCACGGTTGACCTTACACCGACGACCCATCCTTCATTAGAAACGAGGTAAGTTCGCTCAAAGTCACTATTGAGCTTAATAAATAAAGACAATATGCAATGACCAGGCTTAGATATCAAAAGCTTTATATAAATTATTTTTCCATTACATTTATCTATTTTTTAAAGCATTGTATTAATTGTATTTCCATAGCAATGAAATTTGATACTGTTGTAATTATTTGTATCTATATTTTTGGGTAACTATCAGTAAATATTTGTAACTAGTTTAACTGCTATTTAACAATTATTAGTAGTCCATGTCTGGGCTGCGACCCACCACGGTGTGAGGAGCACTGGCATATACCAAACATCTTCCAGCTGAATTGGCTTTGCTGTTCTTTGTAATTATATTATATATTATATAAAAAATGCTTTGTTGCATTTTATACTTCATTTTTGGTATCTGTCTTATATTTTCTTTACCTACCTTGACAATTATATCCGTTACCATAGAATCCATCAGTACATTCGCATCTGTAGCCACCTTGATTATTGATGCAGTTACTTCCAAAAACCGCACATTCATTACTTATTGAGCATTCATCGATATCTAAAATAAAAATAAAACCCAGATCATTTTACAATATATAACCATAAATATTGTAAAAACATGTCATAATAATTATCAAACACAAATAGCATATTCATGGTGTAGTTTCAAATCAGTTTTCAACAATTATAGAGATAACTATTGAATTGAACACAGTACAAAACACTTACCATCACACGTGTTAATATTGAGCACATATCCATCAGGACATTCACATTGAAAGCCACCATTTGTGTTGTTACAAGTTGCAATTGCGTCACAGTTGTCAGTTCCTCTTGTACATTCATCGATATCTTACAAGAGTAGAAATACTAAAGTAACATACGTAATACAATGA